GTAGTTATTGAGAAATCATCGCTAGAAGTTTTAAAAAACTTTCAAATTTATAAGTAAATCCCGATGATGGATCAGTGGCGATCTGCAGGTTGTTTGCTGAATTTTGGTGAACCCACTAATCTACTCATGTCATGCTGCAGGAGGGATTCTGTACCCTTATATATAAATTTTTTTGTATTCATCACAAATTTCATATGAACTACGATATTTTTTTCTTTTCAAGAAAATTTTTTTTTTTTGGTTAAAATATATTATTACCGCATTTATTAAAATTTTAAGTTTTGGTCTTTTGTTTGAACATTTTATAAAGCTGTTATTTGTAGAAGGTTTAGTCTTTAAAGAATCTTGAATTGAAGTGAGGCAACCATAAATACATTATACAAGAATTTTTGCTTATATTTTATATTCTTTTCTTCAATACAAGCTCATTATATTTATATTGAAGTTACAAAGTATCAAAATATTTTTTAAATAACCATTATTTGGATAAACAATTTGAATAGTTAAAATCTTTATAGCTATAATATTTGAGTTTTTTTTTTGCCATTGTTTGAAATCTTCGAATGATCAATTTGGACAGACAATTTTTTTTTTTGAAGCAACAAATATTTGATTAAACTATTTAAATGGTCAAATTATTCATAGCTACTATATGTTATATACAGTTTTTTTTTGTTGAATAAATAATTTAACCAGTCGCAATCATATTATTTTTTGTTATTTCTACACATCACAAAATTTTTATTTTAATAAATAATCTATTTACAAGTACTGAGAATATTTATAGAGAGATTTTATGTAGTAATCCTAATAAGGATTTCGAAATTCTTGATGGTATTAGTGTTGAAGATAATTTGAAAAGTCTTAAACAGCAAATCACAGCTGCACCTTCTTCATCTACATATAGCACAAGCAATGTAGATAATAATATATATGATAATTCATATAATATTTATTTTGATCAAACAGCTGTAGAGATAGCTAAATTGTTTGCTAATTCAATATCACAAGTAATGCAAGAACAGGGTCAAGAGGCTGATATAAATTGGTTGGCATCAAAACTTAATACAATATCTAATAAAGAATCATCATGGAAAGTTAATAATTACCAAGAAAATGAACTAAATATAGAACTTAGTTCTTCGTGTATTAAATATATAAATAGCACATGTATTATAATAGATGATCTTAATAGAACATCATAATGATACTCTCATTCTGTATCTAAGCTATTAAAGCAACTAGGTGGAATTTGGGAATTAGACTTTGAGATGGTAAATAAAATCTTAAGATCAAATGAGAATAGAATACATTCGTTAGGAATTTGCTCAAATCACTTCAATTATGATAATAAGCAATTGCATAGTTGCCAAAAAAGTGAAGTTAGTATTGACAAAGCACTAATTTCTAGAAAAAAATATTTATTTTGCAGATTTGACAAATACATATTTAGTCGAGGTTATTGTTCAGAACACTTGTAGAAATTATATAATCGAAACTTATGAATAGCATATAATGGGTTAAAAGTTTGCTCTGTATTTCAAAGTAATGATTTCGTTAAGCAGTCTACTGGTATTAAGTGTACATAATATATTTGTATATCATGTTTTATGTCTAAGAGTGGACATTTATATGAACAAAGAAGATGAGGTGCTGTCCTTCTCTTTGATTGTACAGATCAACATTGTGATGATTCTATAAAGTCTCTCCAATTTTTAGCCAAGTGGATAAATGATATATCCGAAATTGCTGAAAAGAATACTCAATGTCTTCTTCTTGATGAAATTTTTAGGGAAGTTATTGCTTTTTTTAAAAAATCAAAATTAGCCAAATTAAATGAAGAAAATATTAGCGATAAGGAGTTAGAAAGTGATACGATTAGAAATAACGAAAATGATGTAAATCAAAAAAAAAGATCAAATCTGTTAAGCTTTTTAGGGATAAAAGTTGCGTTCAGATTAAAAAAAGTAAACATTAAAAAATTTTCTACTAGTAAAATATTCTGTAATACAATAAAAAAACACTTAGCACAAATGGATGAAGCTTTAGCAAACTTGTTTTAGCACTCTAGATTTGAAGTTCGTATCAATAAAGAGAAATTAAAAACACTTAGTTCTTTAAAAAAGTATCAGAATAGATTTTCATCAGTGCTTTTAAATTTTTTTATAGTTTAATAAATACAATACAACAAAATAAATAGAAGATCATATTGAGAAAGCAAAAAGAAAGAGAAATTTTGAAAAAAGACTATGATGATACACGTTCTAAAAAAATTTCTCTGTTTTTTGTTTCTGTATTATTATCAATAACTTTTCTAGAACTAAATGTTTGGTTCATTCACATACTTAGTTCTTTGTGTCAGAAGCCCCGCTTGTATACATCACTATATTCAATATTATGTATAGCTGGTATAGTAGCACATACTAATCGATATAAGAAACATTTGGAAAAACAGCGGCGTGAACAAACTAATATAGTTAAGAAATTATGGATAGGAGAAGACATATAGAATATTTGTTAGTAGATAATTTTGATTTACAAGAGAGCACATTTAGTTATGATAATCTTTATAATATAATACAAAACACAGCTTATCTAATACTTCAAATAGTATAGCAATATCGATTTCTACAAGCTATATCAAACCTAATAAAATCTAACAATACTGAATTACTATTCTTTCAAATTGGACGATCAACGTTTATTGACTAGCAAATACAAAATCTTGAAAAATCTTTCACTCATTTGTTAAAGATAAATAGTTAAATTACGATGCTATTAATATAAGATCTGAATTCAAAAAAAGTATTCCAATAGGATACAATTTACTACAACCAAATGTTATTATATTAGCTCTAGGAGATAATCTATGTAATAATATGAACATTCATGAGGCAATAAACATGTATTTTGATATAGGTGTTGACACAAATAAATTTTAGATATATCTGCAGACCAAGTGATATTTCATAGATTAGTTCCATTACATATAATAAAACCTGAAATCTGTTTATTGCTTGGTGGCTAGTATACTAACAAATGTATGTTAAATATCTTATTAGTGGTTTTTTCAGATTACAGTATATATAAGTTAGCAGCTAGTCTGGGAGTTCATTTTCTTGAAAAACTCGAAAAGTTGGTGGATTATATAGCTATATACAGGGTTATTGAATTAATCTGAGTCGCAGTAGGCAATGCTCTTATAGCTTATACCAAACATAATAATTTAAGTATAGAAGATATTGAATCTGAAAGTAATAACATTGTAAAAGTTTGGTATCGATTTTTTATATAGACAGGGTTTTGGGTTTGCCATAAAATTGAGATTAAACACGATAATCATAAAATACAATATCATAGTTTGGCCACTTTTGCTTCTCTTTTTGCAATAGCTGGATGATGTAATTATGCAAAGTCAGTTACTTATTATCTGGCTCAAGTAGATAATGATCCTATGTTGCAAGCTTTATTAGATCTTGTATGTTCAATAAATATAACAAGACCGGGTTATTATTTAGCGTTTGATAAAGCCTTCAAGTCTTATAGAATAAAATATGTGAAACAAAACATTAGAAAGTACTTGGATATTATCGATGATTTAAAAGAAAGAGTTTTATCTATTCAATCAGAAAGAGCACAAATAAATTTATTGTTAAGTAAGTTTGTTAGTAACATGCTAGCTACATATACTGATTGTAATTTGAAATCAAGAAAAGAAGCATTATAGAAATTAATGATTGAACTTTTAAAGGTGTTTAGTTTATCTGAACCAACAACCTATCCTTTATTTTCTAATACATCTCAGAATTATGATGAAAAATTTTATAAGCTTTTTGCTTGCTATAATATTGGCATAGAAAGGCTTTATAACATTTATAGACAGGATATAGAGAAGACAGTTGAGTATAATACAGCTGGTAGATACGCACATAATGTAATAATTGAAACTGTAGCTCAGCAAAAATAGAAAAAGCTAAAAAAAAACAGTCAAAGAAAAAAGAATGAATGAATCTGTAAGCAATTCACAAATAGGGTCTGATAAAAAATACAAAAAATGAAAGATCTTTGAAAATATCAATAAAGGTTTTAGTAATAATAAAGAACTTAATCCAGGTGTCTAATACCAAGACGAGTGTAAAATGCAATAATTTTCTTCATTTTTATAATACAAAAACATTTGACATGATTTGTAAAAAAAACTTATCATATATTGAAAAGATATAATTATTTATAAATTTCAGTATCTTATTAGAAATTAAACCAGATACATTAAATATTTGAAGATTTATAGCCCTGATAGGCAGATATGAAATAATATTTGTAGATTTATAGCTCTGATGGGCAGGTATAAAGTAATATTTATGGATTTAAACAATATATTAAAAATCAAACCAAATAATATAACAAATCGTGAAAAAACTTAAAGATATAAAATTTGCTTGTATATTTAAATAAGTTATTGGAAAATGATACTAAATATTTGCGGATTAATTTATTACAGGTAGACAAAATTAGAAATCATGTCAGATTTAAATATGTTACTAGAAATTGAATAAGAATCACTTGCTAGCTTTGACAACTTATTAAACCAGAAGATACATTAAATAGTCGACAACAAACTCATAGCATATTGTATTGAGAATTCATGAAATTTATGTGATAGACAAATATGAACTCTTAAAATTAAGTATATTAAACTAAATAATTCAGATGCATTAG